TTTGGGCGTGGGGGGGAAAGAAGGTTGCACTCTTGGCAGTAGGCCGCATTGCTCTACTCAAGGCATTGGGGTGCAGACCCCAGAGGTGTGGAGACCACGAGACGATTTTTACTGGAGTGGCTTTCATTTACTTGCCGCCGCATGGATGCACATAGCCATGGCCAAATTGTCCTGTTCTGGCGTGGAGACTGCCCATATTCCGTGTTTTGCGGCTGCAAGGCTACGTGCCAGTTGGACTTCTAGAGGCCGCGTTGCAATTTTTCATGAGGATCGTTTCCAGAGCGGCGGTTTGAGTGGGGACGCAGGTTCAGCAAGCGCGCATTAATTGGCGCCCACGTCCATATGTGGGACGGAGTGATCTGGAGACGAAGATGGCGTCAACAAATTCCAAGGAGGGGTGCCATGGCTCAGACCGCGAGCAGAACTTGGTTGGCTCAGGACTGGGTTGAGATCACCGAGATGATGCTTGGGAAGGTGCCATGGCTCAACGATGCAACTTGCGACTTGCAAGTCGAGTCGCCTGAGCTCGGAGGTTCCAGATGGCTTTTCCTTCGCCAGAGTCTGAGTTTTTGAAGCCAGAGAACCTGTAGCAAGGTGAACCCCTTGCCACTGAGGTCCCGAAGCACAAATCCAATGCATACCAATCTGAGGGTGGTGCACAGGCAGATTTGCAAGACGGTGTCTTGCCTGCAGACTGGATTGACTATGTCCCTCACTGCAAGGTGGAAGCAGTGAAAGCAGAGGATGAAGGAGCAGCTGGATAGAGTCGCACAAAATTGGTGCCGTGTTTGTCACTCCACCCCTTGTTTCCATTCCTTGATTTGCCGACACGGGGAGTCTGGCAGCTGCACATGCAGCAACGTGATTACAAGCATGTTCCAGCTGATTGGCAATCAACCTGTGGCTTAGCATCAGGGAAGCCACGTGCCCAGTGACCAACTCGAGACGCCATGTCGCGATCCTCCAAGGTGGCAGTTGGCTCGGTGCTCGGCGCTGCAGCATTGGGCGGCCTTGCGTTTGTGGCGCCAGGCGCTGCACCGGTTGGCACAGAGCCGCAGGTGTCTGCCACCTCAAGCCAGAGGTTTTTGTCGTCGTCCGCTCCTTCTGGTGCTACCTCTTCTGCTGCCCAGGGCCTGAGCGGTGCCCTGGCTGTTGGAGGACTGAGCGTGGCCGCCATCCGTGGCGCAGCGGCGGCCTCTCGTCGCAAGGGCATCAAGCCGAGGGCCGCCCAGAACGTGGTGGCATGCAGATCGCTGGCCAAGCTGAAGATCGACGAGGTTGACCTCAAGGACAAGCGCGTCTTCATCCGGGTGGACTTCAATGTTCCACAGGACAAGCAGGATCCCAACATCATCACGAACACTGCGCGCATTGATGCTGCCCTTCCCACCATCAAGTACGCCTTGGACAACGGTGCCAAGTCCGTGGTGCTGTGCTCCCATTTGGGCCGCCCGGATGGCCAGTTCAGCGACAAGTTCTCCATGAAGCCAGTTGCCAAGGTGGTGGAGGAGAAGCTGGGCAGGCCAGTGAAGCTCATGAAGGATGTGATTGGAGAGGATGTTGAGGCTGCGTGCGCGGATCCTGAGCCGGGCACTGTCATCCTGTTGGAGAACTCCCGATTCTACGTGGAGGAGACGGGCAAGGGAAAGGACGCGGATGGCAACAAGGTCAAGGCCGATGATGAGCAGGTGAAGACATTCCGTGCCTCCCTTGCCAAGCTGGCAGACATCTACTGTAGCGATGCCTTCGGAACAGCGCACCGAGCACACAGCTCCATGGTGGGAGAGGGCTTCCCTGTGAAGTGCTCTGGTTTCCTGCTCGCCAAGGAACTGGACTACTTCGCCAAGGTCGTTGATGCGCCCACCAGGCCGGTGTGCGGTATCCTGGGTGGTGCCAAGGTGGCGGACAAGATTCAGCTGATCATGAACTTGTTGGACAAGGTGGACATCATGATCATTGGAGGTGGAATGGCCTTCACTTTCATCAAGGAGGCTGGCGTGGACATCGGCGATTCCCTGTACGATGAGGAGGGCGCCAAGTTGGTGCCTGAGATCAGGAAAAAGGCGGAGGAGAAGGGTGTGGAGCTGATCCTGCCTGTGGACTTCGTGTGCTCCTCTAAGTTTGGCGAGGATGGAGAGATCAAGGATGGCGACATGAGCACCGGCGTGCCGGATGGGTTCCTGGGCCTGGACATTGGCCCCAAGTCCATTGCCATGAACGATGAGGCCATCAAGAAGTCCAAGACCATCGTGTGGAACGGCCCTATGGGTGTGTTCGAGATGGCTTCCTTTGAGAAGGGCACCAAGCAGATGATGGAGACCATCGTGGAGGTCACAAAGGAGGGTGCCGTTTCGGTGATTGGCGGAGGCGACACCGCCACGGCCTGCAAGAAGTACGACACCGTGGACAAGGTCTCCCACTGCAGCACTGGCGGAGGTGCATCCCTGGAGCTTTTGGAGGGCAAGGTTTTGCCTGGAGTGGCCACCTTGGATGACTCCAAGGCGCTTGCAGAGGCATAACTTATTTTTGTTCAACTTATTTATCTGCCAAATACGGCACACGCTCACTCAAAAAAGTTTTCCCTCCGGCTGCAACTGCCCCAGCATGCGCAGCCAGGGTATTTTCCCCAACCGTTGAGTTGTGCTATTGCAAAGATTGCGAAGGCTTGCTGGCTTGCATGGGCTTTGCCTTTCCCATATATATATATATATATGTACGTATTAATATGTATGCAATTTTCTTTTTCTTGCTCCCTCCTCTCCCTTCCTCCCTGCTTCCTTCGCTCTCTCCATGTCTCTCTCGATCTATCTCTCTCTCTCTCTCTCTCTCTCCTTTCTCTCACTCTCTCTCTCTCTCTCTCTCTCTTCTCTCTCCCTCACTCTCTCTCTCTCTGTTCTCTGTCTCTCTCTTGCTTTCTCTTTTGTTCTCTCTCTCTCTCTCTCTCTCGCTCTCGTCTCTTCTCTTCTCTTCTCTTCTCTTCTCTTCTCTTCTCTTCTCTTCTCTTCTCTTCTCTTCTCTTATTCTCTTTCTCGCTCTCTCTCTCTCTCTCGTTCTCTTTTGCTTTCTCTCGTTTTTGTTTTTGATTGAAATTATCTCTCTCTCTCTCTCTCTGTGATTCTTTCTTTCTTTCTTTCTTTCTTTCTTTCTTTCTTTCTTTCTTTCTTTCTTTCTTTCTTTAGTTCTTTCTTTCTTTAATCCTTTCTTTAACTCTTTAACTCTTTAATTATTTCTTTCTTTCTTTCTTTCTTTCTTTCTTTCTTTCTTTCTTTCTTTCTTTCTTTCTTTCTTTCTTTCTTTCTTTCTTTCTTTCTCTTTTTCTTTCCTTCTTCCTTTCATTCTTTCTTCTCTCTCGCTCTCTCTCTTCCTGTCTCTCTCAGTTTGTCTCCCTTGGCACTCACTCTCTCTCACTCTCTCTCTCTCTCTCTCTCTCTCTCTCTCTCTCTTCTCTCTTCTCTTTTCTCTCTTCTCTCTTCTCTCCTGACTTTTCTCTTTTTTTTTTTATTTTTTATTTATTTTTTTTTTTTTATTTTTTTCTCTTTTGTATTGTCTATTTTCTCTTTTCTCTTTCTCTTTCTCACATGCCTCATGAGCTCATGACCCTGCGGTTTCTTAGCATCGCAACTGCAAGTGAAGGAAGGCATGCAGAGCCCATAGATCTTTGCATTGCGCTCTTCTGTTGACAGGATCAAGGACCCATGACTAATTCCCATCATTCATTCTTATTGAAAGGTCGCGAATTCGTGGTATACATGGCTGCGCCCTCCACCTCAGCAAACAAAGTATGGTTCAGGAATTGTGACCACTGGCACGCTAAGTTGAACAAGAACAAGAGAAAGTCTCAAAAGGCTGGCCGAGCCATGCCGGCCTTTGTGCCTGTGCAAGACCCAGAGAAGGCGCGAAACTAGGAAGTCAAGCTGCGCACGGCCAACATTGCTTTCATTTCTCAAAATGCGGGTACCCGGGTATCCCAAACAGGTTTCCTTTTGGGTTACCTTTATCACCACCCAGAAGGTTGAATCGAAAGAAACCGAGTGATCGTTTTGCTTGCAATGACAACATCATGTCGCTAGAGCTGACTTACCACAGAGACTTCAGACCATGCAACATGGTCCTTCTGCTCATCAGGCACGTTGCGAACAAGATGAAGAGTCATTGCGGAAGCATCGGCAATTCGATACGCCCTTCTCCTTGCTTCCCAAGGATGACTTGCGTGTTTGCTAGGGTTTCATTTGTGCGGGTGCCTTCACATACCATATTTGCAGGACCTGAATAAGCCCAGAGAGAAGAAGGGCGACTTGAATCCGTGGCGGGCCTTGTTAGACACAAGTCGTCAATGGTAGTTCTCCAGCTTCAAAGATAGCTGAGGATTGTCAAGCGATCAGAAGAGCTCTACCAGGATGACAACAAGCAGATGCCTCATAGAGTGGGAACGTGCACCTGACACAAATATTAGTATCTAAGTCCTCGAACAATCAAGACTGAACATTGCTGGCTACAGGTTGTGGAAGAAGAAGAAAGAGGTTTTTGATAAGCAGGAAACCTGGGGTGAAGGGCTTAGTTGTGAATTTGAGCAGTTAGCTTGCACATGTCCAAGCCTGGATTCCATGTTTTGCAGGGCGCGAAACAGCAGTCTGGTCAAACCCGGAGCAGACAAGGGATCAAGACAGCCGAGACCTTACCACGCTTGCTCAAAGAGACAGCATTTCACCGCCACGTTGTCGTGCCCTTGCGTGCCCAGAACGCAAATACAAGCCTGGCGAAGTCTTCTGGGGTGCCAAGGGCACATTTGGAGGAAAACAGGAGGCAGCGATCGATTTTCTTGAATGACTTTCCGGGTTTTTGTGCGCTCGATGTTGCATTTTTGGCTGGAAGTGCCTGTCGCTGTCGACTGTGTTCACCGATTTGTCTCAGACCACCTTCCTTTTATTTGGGGTGTGTTTGCTCCACGTCAGGACAGTGGCATCCTGACCTTGCAGAGAGGCGAAGTAGATCAGGCAGAAATGCTGGTGCAGTCAGTATTTCCGTGGACGTATTATTTTGCCCATCCCCAAGTCAGCGCATTGTTTTTTTGTTGTTGTTATTTGGTTTCCACTGAAGAGGGACCTCGTGCATGCGACCTGCATTTGGTCAGACGATGGAGCTGAACGAGAAGGGCCTTTGGGTGCGCAAGAAGAAACCTGCTGGGCCTGCAGAGGCGCAGAAACCTGAGGTTGACTTTCCACATTTCTCACACCGAAGTTCTCAAGTCTCAGAAAGTCTCTGGTGTTTGGCGGCTTCGAGGAGGCGCCAGGTCCGTCGGAGAGTGCCAAGCAGCTCCTGAAGACCACCTCCAGCGCCGAGGAGCCGCCAGCCAGACGCGTGTGGTTCGATTGTGCCGCATGAGGACCCGCGCTTGGAAGCGGCCAAGCCCAAGGGCCGCGGCACGGCGGATGCGACGGAAAAGGCCCTGCAGGCGAGGCCCCAGTGCCCAAATGCCGTGTGGAACAGATATGCGAGCAGCCGAATCAGGCGCTGCAGGAGCGGCGCAAGCTGGAGAGGAAGGTGCAAGATGAGCCGCGGACTTGGAGACTGCGCTGGGCATTTGGTCCTTCTCTGCATTTGTTTTTACTATTATTTCTTGCATGCAGTCTCCCGAAGGAGACTGATTTCTTGGCTGAGGATGCGCATATCAGGCATGCGAGCACGAGCATGAAAGGGATAGACGGCAGACACAACAAATCTGGACAGTAAAATGCCACCGGCACAAGGCATCTCGCTTCAAGGCCTCATGAGCGCGCGACCCGTCCGCATGTCGAGCCATGGGAGGGCCGAACGGAGCACAGCAGCAGTTGGCCGGCTGGTGGCTGCACCGCGCTCATTCAGTCGAGAAAGGCCAGGAGAGCGAGGATGGCGCCGCCCATCTGGAGAGGGCCGCGATTTGGCCGGCAAGCTGCAGGTGCATGGGCCTAAAGTCTGCATTTTGAATTACATTGGCCATTTGGACTTGACCCACTTAACGCAGTTCCCAGGATGGGGGTGCTAAGCTAAACGGATACACAGCCCCCCACGCCGTGGACTTCGATGACGAGGCGCGAAAGCTATGGGTGCGGCTGAACTTGGACCCGTCAATCATCACTGGTGGCCAGTACAATGCCATGGATGCCTTGTGGCAACATCCGGAGACACGCGCGGTCTTCTATGTCGGAAATCAGACTGCTGCGACCAATTTATCATTGCTGCAGAAACATGGAGTCACGCATGTGGTCAACTGCACCGACAGCATGCCGAACTATCATGAAAATTATCCCAGCGGCATCAAGTACCACCGCTTCGACATTTCCAGCTTTCACCGTCGGGTGAAATCTGATGCGGATGCTGCGCGATTTGTCCAGCCAATGTTGGACTTTGTCAGCCAGCGCCTCAGCACATTTGCAATAAATGCCAAGTGGGCCAAGGGGTGGCTGATCAGCTGAGGTTCTGCGCTGGCGGATGGCAAGAATGTCATGGTGCACTGTTTGGCTGGTGCCCACAGAGCAGGGACCACCGGTGCCTTGGCTGGCAGTCTTTCTCACTTGACGTCAATCCACGGGTTCGCACCAAGTGTGTGTGTGTGTGTGTGTGCGGAGTGACAGAATGCCCTGTCACCACCCTTTCGGTTTCTCAGCAGGGGGGTCACCCGCAGTCACGACCGGTGACCCAACGAAGAGGGTCGTGACCTGCGCTGATATCTGGCCTGATCAGCCAGACGTACCTGCCGAGATGATGGTGTTGTTCTGAACGTCCTTTTGGTCCCTCCCTGAACCGCTGTTGCTTCTCTGTCTCCCTGTTGAAGTAGCTAGAGTGAAGCCAAGTGACCAGCAAGCCGATGGGGTTTGTCCCCAGTTGTACTCGAGACTCATCAGTTGTACTCGAGACTCATCAGTTGTACTCGAAAGATTAGCACTCTCCATTTGGAGTTTAAGTGTGTACACCCCATTCGCGGGGAATCCTCGGGTGTACCCATTGTGTGACCCCGGGCCGGCTCTGTCGGAAAATTTGACCTCAACGTGCTTATCATAGAACAGCGGAATTTCACATTTAACCAGGAACGAGGTCTCACTAAAGGGAAGACAGCGGTCAGATCATAGAGACGTCTCACCATCGATGTTTGCTTGCCATTTGTTGGATTCGTTGATACCTTGCCGTTGCATGGATTTGCTTGTTGTCTGATACGTGTCTCTCAAGATGGAAGCGTGAAGATTGAGAGTCGATTGTGTAACCATGTCTCGACGTGATGATCGTGATAGATCCAGGACTCGGCGCAGACGTGATCGGAGTACTTCTCCTCAGGCTCGTAAAGCACACCGACGTGAACACAATGACCACCACGTCTCGGAAGGCATGGATTGGAACAACCTGGTATCTTGGCAACACAATTCCGGCTACAACTCTGCCAACAATTTCCCGATGATGCCCACCAATTTTCAATCGACTCACAGTCCCACACAGCAATTCCAACACCCAGCGATCAACTACATGATGCCGATCCCTCCAGACCCCACGCCAACGAAGTTCATGCCACCCGTGATGCCACCACCACTCACTACTCCGCAACCTACACCGCCACCTGGACCTCCTGCGGCTCTACCGGTTCGCCCTCAGAAAGCCTGGCTTACACCATCGCCTGACTGGACACCTGGAGATGGCATGTTTGATGTCAATCAGCTCTACAACTTTAGCCTGCCCATGACCGTTGCCAACACTCCGCATGGCAACCTGCGCGACATGTCAGGCATGGATATTCGTGACGTTCGCCTGGTTCAGGTTATTCATGGGGGCCTCACCAACTGGCTGCTCCGACCGTTCGCTCACGGCAGATTCGTGACGTGGGAAGGCTTTCGCACTCGCACCGAGGCCTTACTTTGGAGTACCTGTTCCAAACTACTACGACGATCACAGTCGATCAACCTGCTCACCCTGGAAAAGGACCTTGCCAACTCGCTGGGTCTCAACATCGATGACTTCAATCAGCGGATCAAGGTTCATGACCATTTGGCCAGCTTGGTACTTCAATTTCTTCAGCAACACCACGCCTCTCTCACACCTTCCACCCAGACAGATGACATGGTCAAGAAGTACAATGATCTAAATCGTGCGCATGAGCTGCTCCAGGCTCAGTATTCAGCATCGCTGCGCGCTTCGACCTCTCCCACGATGGCAAGCCAGAAAGATGATGCAGAGTTGGTTACACCGCCACCGGTCAACCACACACAATCCTCGTCACCTGCCAGCTCCCTCCCTACAGCCAGCGCAGCGGCCCTTGATGGCAAGTCGTTTGATAGCGCGGCGCAACCCCGGATCATTCAGTCTCTTCACGGAGTGTCTCCACCGCCGTCCAAGCCGGCGGCGTCACAATTGCTCACCATGCACAGCACGCCGGAAGAAGTTGTCAAGTACTACACATGGACCAGTGACCAGCCACGCCTTTATCTCAAGCAATCGCCCACAACCACGACTTTGACGTCACTGGTCAAGTGGGCCAATCACCCGTCCCGGCTCAACGGCAACAAGTCATTAGATTCCATGGCGACGCAGCTCCTTCAAGCGCGTCAACGCATGCCGAAAGGCGACGCACCTACTCTCGGGGCGATGGCGGCTTCGTGGGGACTGGAGCCCGGCTATCTCACCAAGCTCACTGAGAAGGCATTGAGTCACCTCATCGTGACCGCTCGCCTACTCAGCGGATGAGCAGGCATCTTAACGACCTTCGTTCTCTTATGAGCCCGGAGCGGCAACCGTGTCACGGATGAGTCAAGGTTAAAACTCGTCCGTCATCTTTCTGCGTTGCATCAGTTTGATCTTGTGCTTGGTTGTGCTTGCATTGCCTTGTGCGTGATTGTCTGTGCAGCTTGTATCCATGTCGCCGCCTTATGGTAGATTTCATTGGTTGCATTTTCACCATGTTGGATGAGCTTCGCCGCTGTGGAATCTATGATGATGTTGCACAATGGCAGTCTCTGGACAACTTTTTACACTCGTTGACCATGTTCTCTACGTGCTGGCAATACTGCTTCCCTGGACTACCACCACCGTCGATACCAGCTGATGAGTACGAATCAATCACACAACTACCGTGGCTGGGCCTCATTCTGGAAGTCTTAGTTGTGGTCCGGATTGCCCTTCAGATTCCGAATCACGCTATGTGACACTCTCAACACACTGTGGCCAACAGGTATGAGATTCATAGATGTCGGTGCACTGATCAGTTTCTTACAACGTCTCATTTCCCAAGATCATGGCTACTTTCCGCCGTTCTTTGATGTCCTTCACTTCTACAAGGCTTCTCTCTTGTGTGAAATCATGCACTCCACTTTTGCCGACACGCGGCATCTTCGCTCATTGCGGGCACGATTTCCGGACCTCTATGACTTCATTCACGATCCAGGTCATCATCAACAACCGTGCGTCTACATCCGACTTTCCCCATGGCACACACCTTACTACGTTGGTGCGACTGATCAGGATGTTCTACGACGTGAACACTCACGCAGTCGCAAATTTCTACAACTACTTCGGGGACGTCATGCCTTCTTCGAACCCGCGCTTCACTACTGGAAGCGATCCAATACTTACTGGCTCTTCTGTGCTGTTCCGGTTGAGATCAAACTTCCCGTTTCCTCGGTTTGGGTCCAGGAAAGCAAATGGCAATACCTGCTACGCCCGCATTTGAATGCACCCTGGGTACACAGACTTCTGCGAAAGGTGGGCTTCCGGGAACACCTCGTTGATTTTCGACGTCACTCGTTGTCGTCTCCCACTTCCCTCGGCTTGCACAAACGCTTTCGACGACGACTACATCCGGATCTTCAACGGCAACTACGTCCCGACATGCTGGATGACATTCAGGCCCATTACTCTATTCTCTATCAGCTGGGATCCAATACAGGTGCATCGTTCCAAGCCATGCGTGACCTTCTGTCGGCAGCTTTCCCTCCTACTCAGCTTTACTACTTTCTGCGGCTCTCCGTCTTTGTCAACGAGCCCTTCCGCTCCAAGGCGCAGAAACTCCTCGCCCAGGTGTTACGCAAACGACAGCTACAATCACCCACCACTTTGACACAACTACTCCTACCGCCTCTACATGTCCGGAATTGGAAAGCTCTACTTGGCACATGGTTACAAAGCTGGATTGCTTCTCATCGTGATTTGTTTCCCTCCCTTTTCCTTCCAAAGATCCGGGTGGTGGAAACTCGCAGTGCCACGTTGGGCGACAAGATCTACAACTACCGCACATGGCAGCGCAGATGGACTCCTGAAACATCCTTTCCGTGTCGCTGTTTGGACATCGATGATCACCATATACACCGAGCACATGGACATGCTGTAATGGTTGATGAGTTCTCACGCATCAATGCGGACATTGACATGGAAATCATGGCCGCATCAATGAAGGATCAGTATTTCGGTGATGTCGACTTGTTACATCAACGTTTCACCACGCAACTTCGCAAACTTGCTCGTCGCTGGCATGTGCATGGTTCCAGTCTTCTTGTTGATCTGCAGCCGGTTTTGACTCAGTTGATGGACACTCATCGAGCTAACCTTCAAGATCGTGCTTATTGGTCATCGACATCGTTGCAGCGCACCGTGGCTTCTCTGTCATCGTGGGTTGTAATCCCCGCGGATCATTTCCCCTCCCGCGCACATGTGATTTGTCCGTCCCTGTTTGCCATACTGATGCGGAAGACCTTTTGCTCGGGAGATGTCTTTTCGCTTTGCCGTGAATCCGCAGCATCTTTTCGCTCTGAAGTGGTAACTACGGTACCTTCCCTCCTACGTCAGCGATATGCATGGGGACTTCGACTTCAAGCACCGTTGCCCACAGCTCGCATCCTTCCAAAGCCGACCAAGGACTGGCAGAAAGCACGACCCATCATTTCATTCTTTCGCACGTGGGCAGCTCCCTTCCTCACGGTCTTCGGCGCCCTCATATTTGAACTTACCAAAGCTACTTTTCCCGACATTGCAGGTCAACTTTCAGTACAAGAACTTGTCCAGCAGCTGTGGGAGTCGCTGTCAAAGGCAGATCCCGATGAATACATCCACCTGGTGTCACAAGACCTGTCAGGCTTCTTCACGTCCATTCCTACGGAACGCTTCCACCAGGCACTACAAGTGCTTCTCCATCGGTACGATCAAGTTGTTGGCCTTCGCAGATCCTCTCAATGGTCAGTGTTCGAAGTAAAGTCTGATCATCGACGCCGTATGTTCAAAGGAAAATGGCGCCGTCAAAGAAAGATCCCTCGAACTTTTCATGAACAAGATCTCCGGCACCTTCTGGACTTTGTCATTGACAACAGTCACTTCGAGATCAACGGATACTTGTTCCGCCAAGAACGGGGAGTCGCTATGGGATCACCAGCCGCGCCACCGCTCTGCAATTTGGTTGCCACGGTTGAGGATTTCTTCTGGCGCCAGACAATGTGTTCTCTGCGTTTTCGCATGCCCGATATCGGTGTGATCTGGCATGAGCGCTACGTCGACAATCGTTTCATTCTGCTTCGTGA